GAGTCTGCACGGTCCACCTTTGAATAAATGGGATACTTCATTTGAGCCATTCCGTGAATATTTCATAGTACTCCTAGTTATTTTGCGCAACTTCAGAATCCCGGTGGGAAGTTTTTACGAAGAAAAAAGGCCACTGTTCTTAATAATATTATGTACAATTTGATCCTCATCCATTTAGCCGGTTCGGCATCATTAAGCGACAAACCATGAAGCATTATAATAAGAATTGGTGTCGTTTTTTGAAACCACGATGCAAGCGAAACTTTTAAAGTGTTTTACATCGCCTCATAAGTTGAATGCTTAGTTGATGTTACCCTGGTATATAAAAATGTGGAAAATAAATGGAGATCGAACCCGAGATTGCTACAATGGTACCACCGATGTTTGTTGATAAGATCTGAATTTTATAATAACAATCAAACATGTAATACAACAAGCTAAGGATGAAGGAAATAATGTAGCGATGTAAATGAATGAACTTTTTAGGGTGAAAGCTGATCTAAACAAAATTTAATAGAAATTGATTATGAAATCCCCCTTTTCTGTAGATTTATTGTAATCTTCAGTAAATCGCAGCTTAGCTAAAATTGTTATTTCGAAATGGTTCAGTGCTTGCCGGTATATGAGTTGCTTAAGTAGATCAAACACATTGCCTATTATTGGTTATTAGTTTAGAAAGTTCGAGTTATTATTATCAAATATTTGTTTGACAACTTCGATACCGCTACTCTAATTTATGGATATCGCATAATGTCAGTTCAAAGAACCCATACTCCTAATTCGAACCAAATGGTCACAAATGTGATAAGACAAACATAAGTCAGAGTTTATCGTGAAAACTTGATAAATAAACCGTGTAAACATAATGTTGTAATATTTGAATCATTGACAATAGCCATTTTCTCGAAAATATTGATATGATATTAATTCTAATACGATTGATAAAATTGAACTGTTTGTCAAATGAAACAGTTATATCCGAGTAATTGCGTAATTATAGTAACACGTACCTTATATCGTCATGTGGAGAATATTTAATGAGACTCCTCGAGAAAAGTGTCCATTGAAAATGTCACTCGATATGTCCACAAAATGCACTGTGTTGGTACATAAAAATCCAGTTCGGGGCACAGCACTTATTGATCATAAACAGAATAATTGGAGTTATATATTTTTTTAGCGTCGATCGCGACGGAATACGTGAGCGGGGAAGACGAAGGGACGACGTGCGCTACGCCCGGGAGTGAAACGTGAACTGCCGGCAAACCGTTTGGATACATTCTAAATATACGCCCCCTGTTTCCCGCGCACCCTATGGGCGCAACGCGTGGTCCATGCAATTTTCTATAAATTTTCGCATAAGCTCCGAAGCCTCTCTGTCAAAAGCTGTTTTCGTTGGAGGCCGCATTGAAAACCCTGTAATTGAATTACCTGTCCGCTTTTTTGGCTATAAATTAGAGACCGATTAGGAGCAAACGTTTTGGCGCTCTTAATTGTGCGCTTTTAAATATTTGCCACTTGGAAATATTATTCAGGATTATTTACATGAACAGTACTTATATACTTTATACAATTAAAATGGTGATATTAACATGTTTCCCATACAACAAATATATATGACCCAGCTTTATTTAGTTAGTAGTTTACCTTGCAAGTGACTTTTGTGTGAACGTTAACATTTAAAAATCCCTATAAAATCTATCTGATCAAAAATCCTGTAGTTCTTCCGTTTTCATTCGTTTTATAAACAGCTCTCTTGCAGGGACCCATCATTTTTCTTGGATAAAAAGTAGCCTTTACCTTAATTCAGATAACGAATTTTACATGATGGATTTAATTTAAAATGATTTAACAGTTTTTGTGGGCAGTTTCGCGTACAAGTGTAAACAGGTAACATTGCAATAATTGTGATACCTAAAAGTAACTAAATGGATCGCGTACAAATACCAATAGAAACACATTAAGGTTGTTCTAGATATATGTTTCCGTAGCAAGTCTGCACTTGATAGCTTTTAAGTTGATAGTCATTGGCTACGAACTACGAACTGCCTAAAAGCTTTTGTTTAGTGGTGAATCAGAGACAAGGAGGTATCCATTGAGGTTCTTTGTTAAAGAGCGCCTAATAATAGATCATATGACTTGCAAAAAATAATGTCTAGGTACTAGTGTAATGTGATTGGTTTTTAGGGTTCCGTACCTCAAAAGGAAAAAACGGAACCCTTATAGTATCACTTTGTTGTCCGTCCGTCCGTCCGTCCATCCGTCTGTCAAGACCGTTTTTCTCAGGAACGCATGGAGGTATCAAACTGAAATTCATATCTAATACTCAAGTCTACTGTCCCTTGGAGCTGTGAAAAAATCAAACTTCTAAGCCAAAGCAATCAAAAGATACAGCCGTTTATGCCGCAAATTTCCGCAAATTTTCGAAACTCGCACGGGAATCAAATCCTACAGGGTACTTCCCGTGAACTTAGAATCTTGAAATTTGGTACGAAGTAACGTCTTATAGTACAAATAAAAGAAAAATTGCGATAACCGTAAATTTTTAGTTACATCATATAATAAAAAATATTTTTGAAAATTTAGGTTTGTACGGTATCCTCGGTACGGCGCGAGTCCGACTCGCACTTGGCCGGTTTTTTATATTTGCATATAATGTATTCTAAGGGTTGCAAAAAAAATTGTCTGGAAAAGAGATTTGCATAGGATCGTAGCTAAAAACTACTTTTAGTTATGTTCTTTAAGTGAAACTTTTTATGGGACTGGGTGTAAATAGAACAATCCTATGGAGAATATGAAACGGAATGTGTGGTAAATATATGTATGGGTGTGTGTATTGGATGCGGGCGCAGCTCTTCCCGATGAGCATGAAAGTTGGAGGGTAACTCGGCGAAGGCTGACACGCTACGAGCGTCACACGAGACAGTATACAGTTCGTCCCACGGGTTTGTTACACGGAGGGAAAGTATATTAAATATTGAAGACAGGATATTTTACTGTACGAAATCATTATTTTATTTTTAATTGTAAGTAGAAATACATTCACAGTTTCAAAAAAATCGCCTGCCAAAACCGGGAATCAAACACATGAAATGTGAAACAATAAACCACATGTATATTATGATAACCGTCGAAAGGGTATAAATCATGATGATTATTTTTTTTAAGAATTTAACACAAAATATAATAAAAACGACACGGTGCTAGGTTTGTATAAGTATCGCTTTATTATTATTTGCGCGTACTTATAGTAAGGAAATTCTGTATTATTAAGTGAGCAGGTACTAGTTAGAAAATACTTTGAATTGATAACATTAGCTGTTGGAAAATTAGCATTACATGCACAAAAAAGTAAGAGGAAATTTTCCTGAACAAAATTTTATTTTATGATCTTCCTTTCATTAGCTGTTGGAAGCACGGAAAAGTAAGAAGAAATTTGCCTGAACAAAAAATTTTATGATTTTCCTTTCATTTAAAATGTTATCTTATTTGAAAAATAAAACTCCTTATAATTAACCCTTTCGATGGCTATCAAGCGTATTTTTTTAAAATTTCACGAGTTTCATTCCCAATTGTAGCAGACGGTTTTAAAAATCTGTGAATGCAGTTCTAGTTATTATTGAAAATAAAATTAGTTTTTTTTTTAAATAAAATGAGTTTTTTTTTTCAAAATTATCGCCCTGTATTTATATATACATTATATATGAGTGATGCGTGCGCTGCTCCATTCCTCTATGCCTTAAGCATGCGCCTAATGTAAGGTTATTTAAGAAAAGAAGTTTCATTTCAGATTTGTGGTCCGTGCCCACATTTTTTTTATACCGCGAGGTAGGCAAATGTCTCTACCTCACCTGATGTTAAGAGGTGGTTAATTCAGACGCAGTTGTGAACTGCCACACCAACCTTCCGCACTTTGCCAGCCTGCAGAAATGGTTCTTTACCCTGCTTTTAAAGGACCCCAGATTGTAGGAAGGAGGGAACACGTGCGTGAGCAAAGAATTCCACTTGCGAATAGAACGACAAAAAGTCATGAAATTTTATTGTTCGTGTAGGAATAGTTGGCTACAATTATTCGGTGACAACGTAGGCCAGCGCGCAAGTTCTTCAGAACCACGCGCCCTGAAATGAGTAAGAACTCCATAGAAAAGAATAGATTCTGTTTAGGGCTGCCATCCGTCCGGGTTTCCCCGGATTTGTCCTAGTTTACGGGGCGTCCGGGGAGCGTCCGGGCGGGGTTTTATTTGTAGTCCGGGTTTAAAAATTTATTGCAACGCATGAGTGGCGCTTGGTGTGGCAGTAGTGACCACTTATTATGAGGTAGACCGCTAGCTCTTTTGCCTAGATCAACATAAAAAAGTTGATTTGTGACATTTTTAACTGTTTTTTTATTGGTCTGTCCGGGTTCTGGGCTTCAAAATCCGGGGTTATCACGCGTCTTATCCTGGTTGCCACATTTTAGAGATGGCAGCCCTAATTCTGTTAGATCTGCTAGTTATTGTATATATTGCACTGCATACTTAATGTATGGATCTAGCCGTCTTAGAGTTAACAGTGATAACACAAACGTACGTAACTAGTTGAGAATCTACTCCTTTTTTGCAAGTCGGTTAACAAAATAAAAGCCCTATTCAAAAACACAAAAGCTTAAAACGAAGGAAAAGCCACATTTACTTCCTCTAATTATAATATCAATTCATGAGTTGATAACAAAACATTGAAATAAATGAACGAAAAAGTAAACAAATTAATATCGAATAAAATAAAATTTCTATTTATACGTTTTCCCCGTAAAACACGAGATATTTTCCAAATAATAATAGGTACCTTAGGTACCTTAAGGTACAATTCCGCAATGGGCTGCAGACTGCGACCGCAGGCGACACTGAGGCTAGCGCCTGCGGCTGACCGCAGTGCTGCCTGCGGTTGCTGCAGATTCTATACCGAGCGCGGCGGCATGCCGCGGCTGCACAATGCATAGACCATGCCTTAGTCACTCCAATACCTTCGTACGAGACAGAATGTCGGAAAACGCTACCGATAATAATTTACTAATGTGTCTTTTGTTAGAATAGGAAGATGATGACGACTTGTTGTTACTACATTATGTATAAAAAGAGAACACCAGATCTTTTATTTAAAAGTCGAACCGAAGAAGGAACTAATTCTAATTTGATCAAAAAACATATAATTGGTGCAAAAGAAAAGTTTCGGAAGTATTGTTGTTTAAATAAAAATGAATTTGACTTTGTACTCAGTTTTATTAGTGAAGAAATCCAACCGAAAAAGCGACACGCTATTTTAGCGGAGGATGAAAAATTATATCTAACTCTAATATAATATTCTCTAATAAATACTCAAAACCCTTTCATTCATTAAATGATCTTGATTCGCCTGAGTAGACAAATCAGTGGGCACTGGTACGGTACTTTTTTTTTAAATATGTGTGAGCTCTCTGCGGTCGCGACACCACTGGAACTGCAGTCTGCGGTCGCTGCACGCCGCAGACGCAGTCTGCGCACCGCGGCTGCAGGCCGCAATGTCGCCGCGCTCGGAATCAATTTCATAGAGATTCATAGAAACCAGTACCCTTAGCACGAGCACGAACTAATATCAAATTCGTAACGTTTGCGAGTCCGAAATGTCATTGTCAAATGTGTACTGAGTTTTAGTTCTCGTTACGTACTTTGTGGCGCTGGTGTTTAAGTTACCATACAAAATAAGACAATGACATTTCCGGCTCGGAAACTATTCGAATTCGGTATTGGTTCGTGCTGCGGCCTGCAGTCTGCTGTTCAGTTTGGACTTGTATCTTTACGTTTATCAACATTGATTTTGCGCAAATTCTGAATTACTTTCCACAAATCAAAAAAGAAACAAAATTAATAAGAAAAAAAACATGTCTATTTGTCTTCGTGCACATTCGGAGATATATCCCAACTTCATTCTGGATAGGGTATCAACATTACAAATTATAGTTTTCGTCATAAATTATGATTAAACGTGTGAGAAGTATCTATTATTTATAATATAAAAAAAACTGAGCAAAACTTTAACCACCGATGAAAAAAAATCAGAATACTCTATGAAGTATAGAATGTCTATATGAAGTAAGTAAAATTTTTCAGTGCATTCGCCCGGATTGCGAAGGGTGCGGGTTCGAGTCCCGTCTGCTGCCTCGTCCGCGTGGATTTTTTTTCTAGTTATATTTTCTTTAGATATAAACATCAAGCAGTTATATGCTTTAAAATAATAAAAATTATAACTATAATTGCTATTTCTTCTTTCAAATGTTTAATACTTGTAAAAGTATTCATTTGACATTGTGGGTTACCTATAATGCGAAGATATGACGCTGCCTTGCAGCTTAAGATTGGCTAGAAGAATTTCGACGCGGTCCGTGAGGGCTGCGGTAGCATAATTGGTCAATGCATTCGCCCGGATTGCGAAGGGTGCGGGTTCGAGTCCCGTCTGCTGCCTGGTCCGCGTGGAATTGTTTCTAGTTATATTTTCTTTAGATTTAAACATCAAGCAGTTACATGCTTTAAAATAATAAAAATTATAAGTAAAATTACATTCGACTAACTTTCTTTGAGGCACTTTATTTCTGTAAGCTGAAAAACCTATATGTTTAGTCTCCGGGTAAGCTTAATTCTTGTTATAGACTTAAGAAGAAAAATCTCATAACAGAACACATAACTCTGATTAAGAAAATCGTAATAAGAAACAGAAAAGGTAACCCAAAAAAACTGGCTTCGCAAAAACTTTAAGTAATCATTTGCAACAATTTGCGAACCTTAGCGTTCTCGAGGAAAGATCAGATCGCATGATACTATCAGAAAGTTAAATTGGAATCAAGCTAGCTGAAAGTTCCCTATAGAATTCTCCGTTCTTATTTTCAGTACGGGGCTGGCGAGGGGGCGAGGAGCGAGAGAGCGCATTTATGACTGTTATATACGAGCGTGCAAACGCAGGCTGCGTCATTTTGTGTCATTTTTATGTAGTAACGTTAGCTCCGTAGACGGTGGCTTACGGCGGGCTTTCGATTCAGTAACCATGACGCATTGGGGACATGAATTCAATCACCCATCAGTAGTATCGAAGCAATTCACTTCATATAAGGATTGTGGTTTTTTTCAAACAATATGAACCGTAGAAATGTTGGTCATAACCAAACTTAAATTACGTTAACACATTTTTAAGAGTAATTTATTGTTTACTAGCGTCTGCTGTGCACGGGTGCACCTTAGTAATGAAGAAAATGTGAAATGTCGACATTTCTAAACACAAGTTGCAACACCATTTTTTCTTTATTTCATGAGATTCTAATGGTTTCTGCTGGAGTTTCCAAGAACTTACATAAGTACTGTTATATACCATAACTATTACTTGCATATTCCTCCACTTATTGCATCATCATTTGCGCATCACGCCACCATCATACGATCCTTACGATCACATGATGTTTTCCTCTAAATTAAATATGAGACCCTTTGTCCTCCATCATATTGCGTATGACATGGCCACCCAAATTGCCACCATAAAATAGTTGATTACTTGACACCGATCATTAAAGCTCATTATCGCTTCTCATTAGAAACCATTAGAACTTCAGATAATCTACGGTGACTCGATATCACCTTATTCTTTCGCGGAACATTCGCAATTCGGCAACACGTGAGCACTTGTTTACACCTTCCTATAAAAGCCCCAAATCCCTCGGGACCAAGACAGTCTACATCAGATACTCGCCTCAGGCACTCATCAAGACTCATCTACCGGTTCGCGACGCTATTCGTCTTCATATAACACCTCCTCTCTAAATTAGTCTGAGTGTAAGCCAGATCGGCATAGCAGTAATTAAATAAATACTTAGAAGCATCAACTGGTTTTACTTCACGAAGACTCCAGCCAAAGGGTACATAACAAAAATTTGGTGTCAGAAGTGGGATCCGTGGCACTTGCTCTTCTCTAAAATACCTGACAATTCGAGAAGAATAAAGCAAGGCGGTCTCCAGACCTTGGCTTGAAAACGGATCCACACATATAAAGATACCCAACGGCATACCACGTCAGTGGTAATCGTCAGCACTTGATCGTGACGGTTTTGGCCCTCGACGGCGACGACGACGACAAGGCAGACCCAGAGAAAGGTATTCAACGGAGCAATAGACGTCAGCGACACCAGCAATCATACCGAAGCAAAAACTCAATCAAGAGTTCTTCAACAATAGAACATCTTCAAGAAACAAAAAACGTCACTTCGAGTGAACTATGAAGATTTTAATATTGTAAGTAGAATTTAAGTAATTAATTGTCATATTTTTTTTTTTAAACATTTTAAAAACTATAATTCATATATAATTTTATTAATATTGTAAAAGGTCGTAAAAAGTAAAGGTCACAATTGTTCTTTTAAAGCATATTTTTTAACTTCATTTTAAATCAATTTAGTTCTTTTAAAAATTTTTTTTTTTTTGGTAAAACATGGCACATTCAACTTCTATACCCAACGTATCCCAAGACGTTGCTGGGAATTCCAACCCAATTTCCATAATGTCAATTGATACACTTCTGAGGTTTATAGAACCTTATGATGGAGATCGTGACAACCTAAGCTCTTGGTTAGAAAAGTGTGACCGAGCTTTCCAATTAGCATCCGATAGCCAAGAAAGAGTATTGTTCGCATACGTGCAAAATAAATTAATTGATAAAGCTCAATCTACATGTTCCAATACCGTTTTCGACTCATGGAAAGATCTTAAAGACTTTTTGAAGTCCAGATTCGGGAACCGAAAACACCAAACGCATTTGTTAATAGAACTTCAAAATTGCAAACAGTTTCACAACGAAACAGTAGCTCAATACATCACTCGCTTAGAAGGATGTCTTAAGTAGTCTCTTAAGACTTAGTACGATTAAACAGACAAGTACTGATAGAAATTTACTGCCAGGACAGATAGATAGTACAAATCAGTTAGCACTACATACATTTCTATTAGGGGTAAACCCGAAAATCTCACAAGTCCTCAGGTCTCGTGAACCTAAGGATCTAAATGACGCGTTTAACATAGCCCTAGAGGAAGAAAAATTTTCATTACTCGAGTCTAGCAAATCATTTGAGCAACCGCGTAGGTACTGCACAAAGTGTAATCGAGCTGGACATACAGCAGCATTTTGTAGAAGTAATACCAGTAGAAACACAAATCCGCGTACATTTAATGTTAATAATAATCTTTCAAATCGTAATAATTTTAATCGGAATCCAAATAATAGACCTTTGTTCCACATGAACGAAACATCTTATTGTAGATGCTGTAATAAACAATATGACCATCGCGATATACATTACCCCGTCCGATTTCTATATAACAATCAAACAAACTATAATGATCAAAATCAAACCAATAACAATTTTCAAAGAAACCCTTATCCATTAAGGAGACCTAGCGTTGAGCAAAGAAACAATCAAACTGTAAATCAAAACTTTAATCGTCATCAACAACAGCGACCAACGCGCGAGCCTTATCACACTCGTAGCTTCTCTCGCAGAAATACAATTGACCTTAATACAATGGAGATCGATCATTTAAACGAGAACGAGCTCATGGAGAGTGCCGATCCTATGAGCTTGGAAGATATTCAGGCACAAAACAACATTCAATAATTTTATCTACTCAATTTATTAATATGATTAACATCCAGTTACCGATAGACGAAACATATGACTATAATAGACCATTAAGATTTTTAATTGATACCGGTGCCAGTATATCAATTATAAAAGGTGAAAAACTACACCCACGATTGCCAGTCAATGTTAATAGAAGATTAGATATTCATGGTATAACCGAATCGAAAGAACCATGTAAAACCATGGGATTTGTCAAGATAAATTTAAATATAAATAATAATAATAAAATAAATCATTACTTTCATTTAGTGGACCAAAAGCGAGTCCCCACTTTAAAATACGATGGTATATTAGGAGATGACTTTTTGATGAAGAATAATGCTAAAATTGACTATAGAAATAAAATTATATCTTTGAATGGCTTAAGCATTCCTTTTGAAAGAAAATATAGTAATAATTGTCCAAATAGGACTTGTGGAAAAATTGATAATAATGTTAATAAAATAAAACAAGATGTACTTCTCACCCTAGAACCTAGGACAGAAACTCTTGTGAAAGCATGTGTTTTAAACCCCGAAATAAGGGAAGGTTTTGTTGAAAATAAAAAACTACTAGAAGGTGTTTATTTATCTAGTTGTATCACCCGAGTAGGTGATGATAATAAAGCTTTTGTATCTATACTAAATTGTACTAACAATCAAATCAAAGTGAATAGGATGAATTTAAAATTGGAACCATTGGGAGATGATAATTCCTCCATAATAAATACTTATAATGTTGAAAATAGAAAGAATAATTATTCAACTCATGAATTACCAAGAATTGAAAGATTGCGTAACGAACTTCGTACTTCTCACCTTAATTCAGAAGAGAAATCATCATTACTTAAAATCTGTGGAAAATATAACGACATTTTCTATCTTGACGGAGACTTACTCACGT